GAGAAACTGCTGCATAATCTAACGTGTTGGAGTAGTTTTCACACCAAGAAATTAATTTCAAGCACTACCTCTTATTTGTGTGTGAGGCCCTGACTACCTGCATAAAAGCTGGGTAGAAAAGTTGGAAAAGAATAATGAAGTTTACAAGCCTTTTTCAGGGCTTTGTGTAGGCTGTTTGGTTTATTAATATCCTCAAGGCAAAGTGAGGTATTAAATGAGAAAAAGGAAGAAAATATGAATTTGTGAAAGTATACAAAATACACAAATATAATATACAAAATAGATTAAAAAGTAAATATTAATGGGAAAGTAAGCACCAGAGGATTTTATTTGATTTTACTAATGACTTCCCCATTTTGACTGGGAACTGAGAAACAAAAAAAATTGTCTTCAGATTTATTATGGGAACTTCTCTCACATGCTTTTTTAGCATTTTCAAAAATCTGAAAAAACAGACTACTCAAATCTTTCATTAGGGACAGCTTTCTTTACTTCTTCAAGTTTGCATTTCTTTTGAAAGTGGTGTGTTATGGATTATTTTGGTTAGAGGAGATGCTGAATTAAGTGTAAAAACTCACAGTAAATTAACAATTTGTTTTAGTAATGGTAGCATTTAAATATCATGTCTTTTTTTTCTCAGCAGAGTAAATTTAAAAGACAAACACAAGTTAAACTCTCTAATCGCTTTCTTTACAATACAGCATTCTCTATTGACTTTCTAACCAACTGCGTGGTAGGATTGTAAAGTCTTGGTGGCTCTTGTATTCAGATATGCTGAGCCAATAATTAATTACAAAGCCCCATACTTGAGGCATCAAAACTGGGTAAAAAATACAGGAAAATGCTGAAGAGGGGGAAGATGCTCTATGTGTACCCCTTAGAAGGAGGAAGTTAGAACTTAAAGCTGTTGTCTTCCAGTTTGTGACCTTCTGAGCAGATGCAATGTAATTCCTTTATGAGTACCTGTGTAAGATTTATGGTCTTACATGTTGAAAAGTCCAGGCATCTTTATGCCAGTGTCGGGATACTTAAAGTGATTTTTAGCACACATAAATGTGATGATGGAATCATATCATGGTTTGGGTTGAAAGAGACCCTAAAGATTAACTAGTTCCAAACCCACTGTCATGAACAGAGACACCTTCCTCTAGACCAGGTTGCTCAGGGTCCCATCCAGCCTGGCCAAGTGTGAGGCATCCACAGCTTCAGTGGGGGAATCTTTTCCAGTGCCTCACCACTCTCACAATAAAGAATTTTTTCCTAAGATCTGATCCAAACCTACAATCTTTCAGTTTGAAGCCATTCCCCCTTGGCCTGTGACTATATTGTAAAAGTCCTTCTCCAGCCCTCTTGTAGCCCCCTTCTGGTACTGGGAGGTGCTCTAAGGTCTTCCCAGTGCCTTGTCCAGGCTGAACAACCCCAACTCTCAGCCTGCCTTCATATGAGAGGTGCTCTAGTCCTGTGGTCTACTTAGTGGCCCTCCCTTGGACTTGTTCTGACAAGTCCATGTCTTTCTTGTCCCAGATCTGAATGCTTATGTGGTATCTCACAAGAGCAACATAAAAAGGCAGAATCCCCTCCCTTACACTGCTGGCCAGATTTATGGGCTGCAAGTGCATGTTGCCAGCTCATGTTGAGCTTCTCATCCACCAACACCCACAAAGTCCTTTTCCTCAGAGTACTCTTTGTCCATTCTCCACCCACCTTGTATTGGGATTGTGTTTGGGATTGCCACAGTCTGGGTGCAGGACCTTGCACTTGGCCTTCCTGAACGTCGTAAGATTTGTACAGGTTCACGTCTCAGACCTGTCCAGGTCCCTCTATATGGCATCCCTTCCCTCCAGTGTGTTAATCACATCATACAGGTTAGTGTCATTGGCAAACTTGCTGAGGGTACACTCAATCCCACTGACATGCCTTCTCCATGTCCTGGGGAACCATGTCTTCTGTATCCTGTATCCCTTCTGAGAGGATCCACATTTTCCCAAGTCTGTCTTTGATCACTGACATACCTAAAGAATTTTTTTTTCTTATCCTTGATTGTCTTTGCCAGATTTATTTCTGCCTGTACTTTAGCTTTTCTAACCATCTCCTTGGCTCATTGGATAATTTCTGTGTGTTCTTCCTCCCAGACTACTTTTCCCAGCTTACACCCTCTGTAAGCTAGCTGTTTAAGTTTCTCCAGGAGTTCTTTGTCCACCCATTCCGGTCTCTCAGTTTTCTTTCTTGATTTCCTCTTTGCAGGGATGCATTGCAATTGAACCTGAAGGATACAACTCTTCATTATCATCCAGCTCTCTTGGGCTGCTTTTCTGTCCATGGTTCTTTCCCATGGCACTCTACTAAGGAGATCCTTGGGGATGCCAAAGTCTGCTCTCTTGTAGTCCAGGGCAGTGACCTTCTTCCCACAGTCCTCACTGCCCTAAGGTCCTCAAAATCCACCAGTTCATGACCACTGCAGCCCAGGCCCACTGGTGCCCCTTCTTTTTGGTGAGAACATTCACTGGTGCCCCACCTTGTTGGTGAGAACAAGGTCCAGCACAGGACCTCTGCTTGTTGGTTCTTCTATCACTTGGAGAAGGCAATTGTCATCAGTGTCTGCTGGGAGCCTCCTGGATTGCCTGTGCCCTGCTGTACTGACACTTCATTTTTGGCATCTTCAGCTTTTGGGATGGTCAGTGTTTCAGTTTGATTGGAAAAAGAAAAATAAGAAAAAAGAAATACATCCCTGTGTAATTGTTGTGTATTCTGGAGCCAGGTCATATTGGGGTGAGGAAGAACTTTATAAAGCTCCATGAACAAATAACTATGCGTATTTTCTTGTTCCATAGCAAATATTTAGCAGAATTTGTAATAGACTGCCTGTTTGATGAACTTTGGATTTGCTTCAGATGAGAGGTTTCTGAAGTAGTTTCTGTTTTGTTCTTCAGGGCAATCCTGAGCACAGGCTCTTGGATTCCAGGAACTTTAGGCTTTGCTGAGCCTGCTCCTGAATCACTCCATGGCATGGCTCCTTACCCCAGCCCCAGCCATGATCTGTTAAGGGAAAATAGATGTTTTCCATGCAGGAAGCTAACTGCTTCTTTGGAAGGATAGCCATCTCCCTTCAACTTAAGCTTCTGAAATTTTTTGACGTTCACTGGATTCTGCCTTAGCAAAACTAAAAATATCTGGTAACAATAAATGTATCCCTACCTGGAAAAACAAATTACAGTGTATCTTACTGCCTTCCTGCATTACCAATCAATGCAAGTCATGGGAGTGAGGGGGAGCATTGGGAAGTTCAGGCTAATTTGCAGGTTGTTGGGAGCTTTTGGGCTATAGTGCTTGGAGCCTTACTTTGTGATGGACAAGTGCTGAAAACAAGGCTTGTCTTTGAACTCCATGAATTTGAAAGACTGAACACAGGCACTGCTCACAGCAGTTTGAATTGCAAGATATTGAATTATGAGATATTAAATTGCCTTTAATTGTCTTTCTACTGGGAACTTACTGATAATTTTATTTTCTCAGAAATTTTGCACATTAAGCAGTTGTTGGTGTTTTTTTGAAAATATCTCCATAATGCAGCAGAACCACAGCTTTATGTAGTCAATATTCAGGAAGTATGCAAAACCTTGTTTGGTTGACTTCTTAATATGTCAAGTCTGTATTTGATCACTTAGAAAATAAGTTAATCACACCATAGGAAAACCCATATTGAATGTGTAAGTTTAATGAAAAGTAGACAATGTCTACAAAAAGTAGACACAAGTCCCAGAGTATAGTTTCACTTGAAAGTAGCATCTCTTCTGCGATATAGATTTTTTGGAATAGAATAAGACACTATGTTTTTAAAGCTTGGCTTGTTGTTTTGGTCTTTGTATTGAAGTAGAGCTTTGTGGAGTAAGAAAGTCTTGTGACTCACAAAAGCAGGAAATTACTTCAGAAGATGCTGTATTCAGAGAAATTTTTTTTCCAGTTTATTTCTGAAAGAATAAGATTAATTGTAATCTAGATTATTGGAGAATCACTCCTTTGACGTATGCTAAAAAGTAGATGTGTTTTAAACCATTTTAATAATGCAATGTTGATATGGTACCCATTTTTAAACTATCTTAAACAATAAATTTTTTTATTATATGCATTTTTAACTGTGAAATTTTTATTTCTGAATTACTATGAACACCCATAGGATAGACAACATTAGTGCTGCCATTCCTAAATAGAGAAAAAATAAAATTAGATTGAGTCTACAAGGACATAGCTTCTTATTTAGAGTGTGGTTTGGTACCATTTCCCATCTCAGAATAAGTTCTCTTGTGCAAATATTACTGATCAGTTGGCATTTTATATTTCTGAGAAAGCTAAACACAAAATATTGAGGGAGATATTAAGGTAAATTTTTTATTGTCTTGAAAATATACCATGATTTAAATTGCCATTTAAAAATTTTTATCTTAGGTGCAGAGAGCAAAAATGTTTTCCATGAAGGAAGGCTAGGATTAGAGAGAGATTGAATAATTTGACTGCAAATTCAACTTCATTGTTATCTAAGGAAAAATCCTGAGACTATTTAAACTATGTAGGACAGTGATAGCCTGAGCAAGTTAAGTGCTAAGTCTTGTAAGTTGTCTTTTTTGGATGGACAAAAGCTGTGTATTTCAGGGCTTATTTCTTCTTTAATTCATTTTGTAAAAATTCTAGAGATGGAAAGAATAAAATACCTACAGTAATCAATTCTCAGCAATATAATAACAAAAAGAAGTACCACTATTAAGATAATTAAAATAATAATAGTGATAATTATAATAATAACCATAATCTAGTCTTTAACCTCAAGGTACCCTTTCCATTCAAGAAAATCTTTGGACAAATTTATATGAAAGGCTTAATGTTAATATCAAGCAAACATGTTTATATTACTGTATCAATCATAAGATGGGTAAAAATGCTTTCTAAGCAAGATTTTACTCTTTACAGCAGGAAGTCATTAATTTTTTTTTTTTTTACTTATTCAGAAAATAAATGCTAAGCTTCATGATGGAGTGTGTCAGCATTGCAAAGGTATCTTGGAGTGGCGAGTAAAATTCAGGAAGTACAAACTACTGACAAAACCTAAAAAATGGTGAGTAAAGATATTTTTCGTTAATTGTCGATCATGTAGTTTGTGAGCTTTTGGAAAATATTCTGGCTTTGGAAACTCAGAATAAGAAGCTGCTATTATGCAACATTTTTAAAATGTGGAGTCTGCAATGACAGCATGTAGGCAATGTTAATTTTCTACTCATAGGTCTTTTATTATAAACTTCTGAAGACACAGAGGAAAAGCAACTGCTTACCTCTTTGCTATTAAAGCTGGTTTAATTGTGGACCTGTAGGTTTCCAAGACCATCAGTGTCCTCCTGAACAAAAAGTCTTTCCTGAATATAGTAACACAGTTTTCTAAGGTCTTGTTTTACATCTGTCTTAGAGCGATCTGCACATCCCTTGACTTGTGTACTTTGCTAACGTTTGCAATACATGCATTTCATTACCTCTTAGCATGTTTTCTCCTTTTCTGTAAGAAACTATAATCCTATGTAGTAAATGTTGGCATTGTTTGCATAGAGTTCTGTATTGATTGTTTTTGTATAACTGTATAACAATGATGATCTATCACAAACATATAAATTATTTTTGTTTCCTGAAGGAGATGCTCTCTGCTTCCTTCTTATTTGCTCAGTTGCGGAGGTCCTTACCTCCTGTGGTAGCAGACACAGCCAGTGTTTCAGCAATGAAACACAGAACTCAGAGAAACCACAGCTGGGCTGTGGTGCACAATACAGCCAAGTTGTCACAGTAGTGTGTATTTTGGTATTAGTAACCAGTTTCACTCTTTCATGTAAAAAATAAATGATTAGGTAGTAGGCTTGCTGAATAAAAAAATAAGCATTCTCTGTTCTGTGTACTACAGATGAAGTTGGGTTTTTCACTTTTTCTCAAATAACTTATATGCATCCTGGGTGGTTTTTTTTTGGTTTTTTTGTTTTTTTTTTTTTTCCCGAAGGGAGGAAAGCAGGCAAAACCCTCATGTAAATCAGGGAAGTATTGGACATAGAAAAATTTTAGAACACCAGCTTATAACAGAATGCATGATATTCTCCCTCATATTTTTGAACAATGTAGTTGTGCCTCAGAGCACTCTAGCTTTACAGGTCATAATTTCTATGCCAGCAGTACAGTGGCTGAACCTTTGTTCTGGAAGGACAAGACTATGAAAATTTTCAGCAGGTGAAGCTTCTGGAAGAAGTAAAAGCGTAATAGACATTAAAAATGTGACAATAAAAAAAAAAAAATGAGTTCTTTATATTGCAAAAGATGGGGATGGAGGACTTCTCTATGCCTCAACTTATTTTTAGTTTTGCAACATCTTTAAAATTGTGAGTGTTAGTACAATCACGAGTATTCCCTACTTTACTTCTGAGTCTTTAATTATTATAACTTAAACTATTAAAAAAATATATATAAATCTGCCTTGCATTGGCAGTGCCTGTGTTTAGTATGACATGTTTGGGAAGAACTTTTGAGGGCACTAAAAATTACTGTCAGGAGATCAGCATTACATGGGGTATATTGTTCTGGTTATGTTCTCCAGATATCCAAGGCTTTTGAAATGTCAGCTGAATGGTAAGCCACAGAATTTTGGAAATTACAGAATCTGCAGAATATTAGCATATTTGAAAAAGAATAGCCCAAGCCCTCTACCTTATTAGGTTGGGTTTGTTGAAAGTACTGTTCCATGCAGGCTTGTGTTTATAGAAAACAAAGTCTAGCACTGACTCAGTTTATACTCTGAGAAGTTAAAGAGAAAGTCATTCAAGTGTTTCAATGGAAAGCTTTTTATTTGTAAAATTAATAAAGCATATGCTGCTTTTATAATTAAAACAGAAGTTATGCAATTTTAAAGTACAATTGCATAACTTCCTACTGAAATGAATGGAAATGTTTATTCTATCAACTTAAATATAAAATTCTTTATTTAATGTTTCTTTTTCAGTACTTGTTTTAGTAATTTGTCCTGAAAAAAGTAAGGGAGCGGGGTGAACTGCAATGATTTTGATGGTGCTAATGGATAAAACACTGAGTGTTTAATTTGAAACCAGCCTAAAATGTGCTGTTCCTCTTTTGTGAGTGTTTGTTCCTTTTTTGTGTATAATATTTGAATACCGAATGCTTCCTAAATGTCCACAATATTTTTTTAATCATATTTTCTTTCTCTTCACAGTGTGAAATGCCTCCAGAAGACTGTAAAAGATCCTTATCATATTATTTGTCGACAATGTGCTGGTAAACTAGAAATCTGTGCTAAGTGTGGGAAACAAGAAGAAATAGTGATTCCGTAAGTAGCTCATAGAGTACATAGTTTCAGTCCTGTATTGATAATTCCCCTTGTAATAAACCTTGTTTGGAAACTGACAAGAAACTGTTGTACTTTATCCCACATTCTCAATAATCCCAACATGAATCAGTAGGAGTAATTTTCCTCACTTTCTTCAGATGAAACTGAAGGTAAAATGCTCATTGACATTAGTGAGGATGAGACAAAAAAGTCCTACTTGGATAAGACATTTTAACACCTATGGGTAAATTGTATATCTTCTTAACAAAGCACTTCAAAATGGGTTTTGATGTAGAGCATCATAAAATATGTGCAAGCTACTTTACTGTTTGCATTTTATCTGCCACTTGATGGTTGAGTTGAATCATCAGAATTAACAGAAGAACTAAACAAAGACTGATATTGAGTACAATACATATTGTGCTCAATATCATATACAATATCACAGTACATTTAGTAGGCTTTTGGCTGTTTTACTGGTTGTTCTCTGTTGAGCATGATACATAAAACATTGATTTACTAGTTTGTGTTGACAGTCCAGCAGTTGCTTACTTGGTCAAGCTGTTCGAGTATTTATATGTGTGCACTTTTTTATCCTTCCTATTTAGTGTGAAGTAACTTTAGGGACTTTTATTACCCTTCTTCCCACCTCCTGCCATCTTCCATCCTATATTGGTATGGAATGCCAGGAGGATATTCTATCCTCCATTCCATTCTTGTTTAAATTTCAGAAGTGGGTGGTGATAATATCCCTCTTGCTTTCTACAGGATTGATAAAGGACAAGACAGAGCTGACAGTGACGCTTCTAAAAATGGCCGAGAGAGCAGTAAATTGAAGGATGAGCTGGATTTTGAAACAAATTTCAGTAGTGCAGATAGTGATGAAGGCTCTGATGTGCTTGAAGAACAATTTAAAACTATGAATTTTGAAACAACAGAGATCTAAAAGGTTGTGTTTCTGCAAGAGATTATATGCAATCAAATATGGTAAACCATGCTTGCCCTTAAACTGCTCCAACCTCTGATTAGACATCTAAGGTCCTTGTATGTTAATTTTGGCGTTGTGTATGATGATGCATATGGGGATTTTTATTAATACACATTTTTGTGTATTAAGAACAGAATTTCTCTGAAAATATTCAGAAATTCTATTTGTAAGCATAGTTAGTTAGTTATTTCATACACATAACAACTTCCTGTTTTTATGGAATAAAGCCTCTTTGTGTAATTGTCCAAAATTCAGCATTATGTGACCATTGGAAGTATTACTGCTACATGGAAATCTACCTGAAAGTCTAGAATCTACCTGAAAGTCCAGTCTTTAATAGTTTACTGAAAGAACTTGTAGCATTCTCTCAATGTGTTTCCAAAAGGGGTCTTACCCTTAAACCTGGTGGTTTTTGTTTGATTTTTTTCCCTGCAAAAAAGAACCAAGTGTGTAAATGCCATCACCCATACAGTTCATGAACAATTAAAGCTTATTTACTATGTGTAAGTGTGCATTACAGATTTGTGACCTTGTAAATATTTTGTAAAGAAAAAAACTGCAAACTGTAGAATTTCTCATCACACTTTCTTTTCATTTTCAGAATTCAGAGATTCATCTGGATCTTTTGTGGTTTTCTCTGATACGAAATGACATAGTGGAGTGATGCTTATAGAGTAACTCCCTTCTCAGTTTCTCTTCCACTGTTTATTAATCTGTACAAAGAACTTAACTGAAGTTGCCGTAACTGTCTTTACAGGATTTAGGATGGTTTGATTTCTTTTGTACTGTCTTCTTGGTCTTTACATTTAACTAACAGTGTATATATGTACATTAACCTATGACAATATGCTGTGCCACATCTGCTTTGGTGCTTTGCCTGATTTGCAATAGTGAGCATAGAAAAACTTGATTATCAAACTACATTTTTCAAATGCTGTTTGAGGCAATTCAGCTCTGAGGTTGTTTCCCATCCCTGCCTTGGAATGAAGGAAATACACAAACTTAATCCTTTGGGTGCAGATAGGCGCCCAATGTCTGTCCTGTCAAGCTGGAAAACACCAAAAGTTCAGTGGCAGAAAATGAGGTTGTCAGGTATGTTCAGAAGTATTGGATCTGAAGGTTATCTGAAGGTTTCACTGGCAGATAAATCCTCCCAACAGGACAGCAATGACATCTGACTTAATGTCACATCTGTTGTCCTGCCAGTTGTTGTCAATAAGGGCAGAGTAAACAAGGAATATCCCATGCACACACTGCAGATGACCAGGTAGGAGGGTGCATAGAAGGAAGTTAATAAGTAATCTGGATTTAGCTTCAGAAAGGGTCTCTCTGAAGGGGGAACCAAAAGTGAACTTGGCTTTTGAAAGTGCCATACGTATGGGAAAAGTTCTTCCACTTGGAAAAAAATTTAATGGCCTTGTTCTTTGTTGAAAGGTGAGAGGAAATCCTGGAATGACAGGAAAACATGTGATGGAACTGGTAAAAGCTGTATAATGAGAAAATAAGGGGAAGAATTCTCTTATAGTAGTAACACAACCTGTCAGTACCAGGAGTGAGCAGAGTGACAGCGATAAACAATGTGTTGCAACACAGTGCAAAAATGTTTGTACAAAGGGAAAGTCCTCTAAAGTCTTCACATCACACTCCTGGTGCTCTGTTCAGAGCTGGTACTGTAACGTGAGAGAGGGAGCGACAGGGAGAGAGACAGAGAGAGAGAGAGAGAGACAGAGAGAGAGAGAGAGAGAGAGTGGGAGCAGGAGAGGATGCCAAGAGCAAGTCTGGTCCCTGGGCACACCTGATCAGGGGCCTTCAGAATGGGCAGGGAATAAGACTTGGGCCAAAAGGACTTCAGATACCTGATGCTTCAGGGGAGGGTTACAGATGTGGGATAGACCATACATTTTATGGGGTGAGACAAAACATTCCATTTGACCCTTGGACCTGTCTGTAGGTAGAGGGCATTGTTCAGTCAAAGGGGTGATTGCCTTCAACTGGCTCTACTATTGTTTTCTAGTTGTTTAGTAACTAAGGTTTGGTATCTCAAATCTTGTTCTCATTTCAATCTCACTTATAGTTTCTGTATTTTCCAAATCTTTTGCCAGGCAATCATATTTATAAGGCTTTCCTATTTCATCTTCCCCAGCAGAAACCGTTTTGACAATTCTTTCACAAATATTAATGAACTTGTGTCTCAAAACAAGAGGAAATAAAAATACCACAGTGCCTGCAGGGTATTGACATGCAGTTTAAACAGTATGACTGATCGGAGGTTTCAGGATTTGTCTGAACCTTGCAGTGCCTCACCAAATACATTACTGAAGAAGGAAATGATAGATGCTAATTATTCATCTGAAGAATATTGGTGCATCACTGGTGATGTAGTGATGTCGCTGACAGTTGAGTTCCTATTACCAGGTTGCCCCTAGGAGTGTCATTTGGCATGACTCAACACTGAAGTAATTAATTAGGTAGTGGACTGCCAGTATGTGTGAGGCAGGCATGCCAGATGATTCTTACTCCACAAGGGGAAATGCTCATCATAGCTGGAGCTGCCAGAACTCGACATGCTTGACTTATACATTTCTGGGAATCAAATTCCTATGTCAAGGATTGCTTGAGACAACCTGGATTCATTGCAGTATGAGGAGAGCCTGATGTGGACACAGTGCTACCTCCTAGCATAATTCCTTTACAATCTTCTCTGTCAAAGTTCACAGGCATCTCTGAGACATCCTATCATCAAATGTTTTGAAGGATCAGGTAATGCAAAAAACATTGCCCCATTATTTACTTCCAGTTTTGCATGGGCTGTGCTCTTCTATTCTTCTTTTGGCTACTGATTAATGTGTATTCCTCCAAAATACTGTAGTAATACTAGCCTCTGAAGGTTTATAGAACTACCAGTTAATTAAGAAAAGTACAGCTTGCTTTCTCCCTATAATGGGCATGTGCTTGGATGTTGAGATGTAAATCATAGCATTAGCAAGGAAAATACAAGAAAATATAGCAGGTCATCAAATGTGAGCCACCTTGTAAACCTCTAGCTCTATAATTATGTATGTTTTCTTTGTTTAGGAGTTCTCATAAGTAAATGAATGCTGGTAGAAAATGCAAAACTAAGTGCTTATTGGAAGCATCACCCTGACTTGCAGAGTTAATGAGGAAAGCTTAGTAAGTGACATGGAGAGATGCTTTTCTTTATCAGATGTTTAGGGAGCTGCTCATGCAAACTACTGGCTCACTTAATTCTCCTGCCTACCTTTCATCTTAAAGCTAATACAATTCAAAACTCTTGGTGAAAAAGAAGGTATGAACTCTGCATACATACTCATCACATACAGTGAGTTTGTAAGTAGGATTCCTAATCTTTGAAACAGTTGAAGTGAAATCTTTCTGTAGCTTAACAATACATTTGTAGACAAATTACCTCTAACAGACTAGAAAGAAAATATTTTACTTATTTGAAGTAGCAGACTTTTCTGCTGGAGCCCCTAAAAATAGTTAAGATGAAATCACATTAAAATTATCTCTTTTTTTTTTTTTCTGAAGTCAATAAGAATATATATTTGTAGTAATAGGGGTAATACTTATAATTCAGTCACTGATAATAATTTGAGGACATGAAAACAGGAGCCAAAGGCATTAAGATTTTACCTGAAAAATCTCTCCTTGCATTCCTCTGACATAACTTCAGAAACCCAAATTGAAAGGATCACATGAATTCTTATAAATGCTTTGAAAACACTACCAAATAGTTTAATAATTTGCTTTTAAACTGCAACAGAGAAGATCATGTTTTTATACAAAAACAAAACAAAAAAAGGTTTATGCCTGTTACCGAATGGCAGCACTCACTTGAAATCTCTCTTTTAAGGACATCTTGCATTTTTGGGCCTCAAGATTGTAGTATCTCTTTTATTTGCCCTTGACTTGCAGTTTATCTAATCTTATATGTTTTGACACAATGTGACAAAACTATGAAAAGTATCCATTGTTTAATTATTTCTAAACATACCAACAGTGAAACTTGTAGCATTTTTTGAATTATATGTAGTGGCAAAGCTACGTGTGTAACAGATCTGTTTTTCTTTCTAGGATCTCCTGACTACTATGTTCCTTTTAGGGTTATTTCATATTCTCTTCTCTCAGCCCTTGCACTGTGGAAGTGCTATCTGGCAGGAGAGATGTACAGCCCCTGACTCTCAGCAACAATGTATTACTCCGGGTAATTCCCAGTAAGAAGGAACAGAATTTATGCCAGAACAGTAAAACAAAGTGCTCTGCTTTGTGGGTCCACCTTGGAGATGCACTGTGTGGGCTGCATCAGACACAGGGGAAGATGGTTAGATCAGCTTCTCAGAAAGACTAACCCTGTAGTACCCACACTACTCAAACCTTGCTGTGCAAACCCAATACAAAATACACTTGTGAGGGGTATGTGAAGTGAAATAAAGCAGTGGGTCTTGCCAGGAAAATATTAAAAGGCACTACAGTATTTTTTATAGTATTGGAAAAATGCAGAATAATCCCAAACCCTCCATATCCAAGGAAAAATAAGCCACATAAAACCAGACAACTTCTATTCTTTTAAGCAACATCAGATTTACTATTATTTATATGACAAATATTTTTAAAGTCTCTCTAGAAATGGCTAATATCTCATTCTCCAAAGAAAATAACTCTTCAGTAGCAGCTTAGTCTTTCTAACAATAACTTAGTGATGGAACCTTCCAAATTGGAACAAGGTTTACCTGCATTACTTAGAGAAAAGTCATAATACAATCTTTATGCTATAAAACTAACCTTGTGTTTTAAAAAGATCACAAGGAATTTGCATAGAAAATACCTAGAGAGACTCAAGTTGTAATGCCATAATCTTCCCATTCTAGGAAATGGTTACCTTAAGGTTTAAAGCATACCAAAACTATGCAGTGGCCAGAACCTCAGAGCTATGGTTTTCACTGTGTTTCAGCAGGAAGTTTTCCTTTATTTCCAGTTTTTGTACTATCCTGAGTTGCATTTGGATTTTAATAATTCTGACATTATGAACTATCCTTTCAAAAAGAATTGCATTTTGGATCACTACACCTAACTAGTTGCTTCTTTCTCATTCTCATTACTGCACCTGAGGTCTACAGAGACCAAGTACAGGTACTGGCTATCTATGTTAATTCAAAAAATCACATTAGTAGCTGGCTGGTTTTAAACAATCCACCCCACCCCCCTCCCCCACAAAAGAACCAAACCAAACCAAAAAACCCACAAAAATAATTATACTCAAAAACAAAATGAAGAATCCAAACAAAAACAATAACAAACAAAACAATCACAACACTATCCCCCTCTCTCATCCTATAGCACTTACCCAGGACACTCAGAATGAGTCCTGTTGGGCATTCTTGTCCCTTGTCACTAACGTGTGCCATTAATGAGGACAGTGTGTGGTTCTAAAGGAAGGGTAATGCATATGCTTTAGTCTTTAAATGGAGAGAAGGGCCTCTGTCAAATACCTGATGGTGTCAAGCAGGGTTGTCCAGCCATGTTTGTCCAAAATGGCATTAAGAGGCAGAGGGTGGGGGGAGAGCGGGAAGAAAGGGAAGATGGTGTGGCAGGAAACAACTAGTGAATATGGAAGTACAGAAGTTCATGTAGCCTGTACCTGCGTCTCTTAATCTCTGCGATCTTCAGCTGTCACTGTAGTGTGCATGGAAATAAGTCCAAATAATACACCTAAAGCTTTATTGCAATTAGCTGACAAGTTGCTGTTGTCTCGCAGCCTGTCAGCTGAGGTTTTTGCAGGTTTCAAGGAATGAAATACATTGTTACTGTTTGAGACAGCTTAACTTTTGTTGAAATCAAAGCCATTTAAAGGAGACATTACAAAGGACAGTAATTACTGTTTGGTACTTCTCCTGGGGCCTGAATGGAAATGATTCCGATTAAGAATCCCACTCATAGAACTGAAGCTAGACCTTCACAGTGACAAAGCACAGTTATCACTACTTTACCTTTGTAATTTGAGAAGCCTGTCAGTGAGATTTTGTTTGGTTTTTTGTTTGAGATTTTTTTGAAGGGTGTGGGGGTTGTTTGGTATTCTTAACATTAAAGCATTTTACCATTAGTGATCGTGTTGAGTGTAGATCTTTTCTTTAAAGAGCTACTGCTTAAATAGCTCTGAGTTTTGTTTGTCTGCAAATGGGGAATGTGTTATGACTCAGCTTGAGCCAGCAGTCAAGCCCCAGGTAGCTGCTTACTCACTGCCCTACCCACAGGACTGGGGAGAGAATCAAAAGGGGAAAAATTAGAGAACTCGCTCATGGGTTGAGATACAGGCAATTTGATAGGAAAGCAAAATTCACATACAGAAACAAAGTCAAGTAAGGAATTAATTGACTGCTCCCCACAAGCAGGCAGGCCTTCAGCCATCTCCAGGAGAGCAGAGCCTCATTACACATGATGGTGACTTGGAAGACAAATGCCATCACTCCAAGTGTCCCCCCTTTCTCCTTCTCTTCATTTTATATACTGAGGATGATGATCTGGAATATCCCTTTGGTCAGTTTGGGTCACCTGTTCTGACTGTTTCTTCCCAGTCCCCCACATACCCCTACCCTACCACTGTGGCTGCATGAAGAGTAGAAAGGGCTTTGGCTCTGTGTAACCTGTGCTCAGAAACAACAACCATCTCTATATAATGAATCTTCTGTTCAGCACAAGCACCATACAGCCCCATGACAGCCAGTGTAAAGAAAATTACCCCAGCTGAAATGAGGACAGAATGTTGTGCTCCTTGAAGGTAAGTGATGTTACAAGGAAGCTTGATTTACTGGCCTTGAGTAAACTATAGTGGTAGTTAAATATGTCTTCCCTAATTGATTTGACATCAAGATAGCCCTGTGGTCTTGATTTTTGACATACTTTAATGAAGAATTGGGTTAGAGTTTTTTCATTTATATTTAGATAACTGCTTTGCTGTCTCATTGTAGAGAAGGTTTCCAAATCTGTGAGACAGTTGTTGCTCCAGAGTACAAAGCGTATATAAATCATCTAGAGTAGATGCACAAAGTCACAGAGATTCCTTTTTTTTTTTTTTTTCCCCCACTTAGTAAGTGTGGAATGAAGAAAGTGGAGCTGAAAAAACCCTGTGTTTACAAATTGGAATATTTGTTTGTCAGTGCCAAAGTACAAGCCTTTGTGTTGCTGCTTTTACCAACGTCCTCAGGTGTCTCTCTCGAAAAAGCTACTTTGCAACACCAGGTGTCACTGTAACAAAGTGAAAAGGTTTGCTTGCAAGTTAGCTTCGTGCTGCTCGGTGATACACCAGGCTGGGTATCTCTGGGGGCTTTGTTTTCATTCCTCAAAGCTAGCTGGCCAGCTTTTATCTCACAGGGATGCGGCTCCCCTTGATCTGTGCGCTGAGCTGTGACCCAGACCATCTACACTTCTAACAAGCTTCCAACGGGAGGAGGTCGGGATCAAGGGCAGACGCCTGAGCCGCAAATTCTGCTTTTAGTGTGAAGATTTTTAGTAGGGAAAGCTTAAAAGGCTGTACTTTCCAGCCTGGCTAACCCACCTGCAGCTGCAGTAGCACAAATAGACAAGTGCTGAGTTTCCAAAAGTCAGAGCATACCGACCTGTATGTTGGCCTCCTGTAATGTGAATATTTAATTAATTAGAACATACACATAAAAATAAAACCCAGACCAACCAACCAATCAAGTGAATGCTGCACAAACACAATAAGTTACACAAATAAAAGGATTACACATAATTAGATTTAGTTCGGCTCATTAATTTCCCCAGAAATCTTGGAGAACCTGGTGTAGAGTTGTTGAAAGAAGCCTGAAAATGAAAACGTACTGCCAGTAGATCACATTTAACCAAGAACTCTCAGTTTCCACAGAAGCTTCGCAGGAGCAGCCCTGAGTTGCTAGTTCAGAGGACATGGAGCTATGTGTCAGGACCAACATAATTTTTAGTTTACTATTAAGTTAGGAAAAAAAATTTTAAAAAAATTAAAAAAAAGGAGGAAAAAAGCGTAGGTAGAAACAAGTTAGTCTGCCTTCCTGTTATGAATTCCTTCTCAAAAATCACCTGCTTATTTACCATGGTGGGCCAGCCATAACTGAGAGCCAAATGCTCACACAACTCCTTCCTAGCTTGGTTCTCTGCAACATGGGAAAAGGTAGAAGAAATGAGAGGAGACTTGTGAGATAGTTACAGCTTAATAGAGATAGCAAATTGAGACCCAACCCTAACCCAATCCTGACTCTGAAAGTAAAACAGAAGTCAACAATGGAAGTTGGGGCAGTGCAAATCAAAAAGAGAAATTCACTTTCCACTTCCAAGACCTGTTTAGTTGTTAGCAGAAGAGCAGGGCTTTGCCATGAGTTACATTTGTGGGCTGCTGTGGAGAAAGTCAGCTCCATGTCAGCCAGACCCAATACTTTCATGTACTGAATGTGCTTTCTGAATTGTTTCAGTGTCACAGCAAACTCAGCTCTGAGTGCCAAAAATATAAATTATTGTAAAACTTTCAGTGCAGACCTTTGCTAACATACACTGAACAAATTTGTAAGAAACTATATCAGCATACGGCTGGGGATCCATATATACCAATCTAATTAAATGTTTGCCTCTCGTTAAAAGTACGTCCCTGTGTTCACTATGCATGATAAGCAGTTCTTTCCTTGAAAGAAATATTTAAACCTGTATTTTAAAAATAATTAATGTCTTATTCATTAGTCAGCAATTGGAAGACTGTCAACAAAAAATACAACAAATAGTAAGGTGCTAAATATTTAGGACAGGGTTATTTGGAATCATTTGAGTTTGAAAGCAGCAGCAGCATTTGAGTTTGTAGTTTGTCTTTTTCTCTTTTGGAGGTTCCTCAATCCCTTTACTTCATGAATGTGTGTGTGTGTGTGTGTGTGTGTGTGTGTGTGTGTGTGTGTGTGTGTCTGTGTGTATGTCTGTGTGTGTCTGTGTATCTGTGTGTGTTCTGGAGAACACTGAGTTTGAGTGGTCATGAGAGGGACAAAGTACAAGTGCTTAGGAATAGAGACCTGAAAACTATTTATGGGCCACTCCTCCTCAGAGGTTTTCAGAGCTCCTTCTTATTACTTCCACAATTAATTTCAGACTTTGAGTGGTGATCTCTAGCAGATAATCATGTGCATAAGAGCATTCAAATCCATGCCAGCATGTTGTTTTATTTAGTATTAAAGGTCTGCATTACTATAGAGCAGCTTTACAGAACAGCACTGCATTTGGCTTTTCTGAAGAAATACTAAAGGACTTTCTGAGACATACCAATTTGTTAATTTATCTCAGGTATCCTATTATTTTGGCTGGATTAATGTTAGTTTTCTTCCTAGTAGTTGGTACAGTGCAGTGGTTTTGATATATGTTTTTGAAAGAAAGAAATGTTTAAAGGGTTTAACACCAACCAGCAACTAAGTTCTAAACAGCCACTGGCTCATTCTGGTCTTTCCACTTCTCCTCTTTCCTCCTCACTTTCTGGTGAGATAAGGGAGAAAATCAGAGTTAAAAAGAAAAAGCATGGGTAGAGATAAAGGCAGTGTAAAATGTACAGCAAAAGGTAAAGCAAAAGCCACACACACACGCGCAAAGAAAAACAATGAATTACCAGCAATTCTTCTGTTTTTCTAGACTTTTCTCAGGTAGAGGTAAAGATTTCAAACATCCCTCCTCTGCTAACTTGTCTGGTTTTTGACTCTGAGGGTATTTTGTGCATTGAGAACAAAATAGATGAAATTTAACAGCATCTATTGAATCTTCCCTAGATTCCTCCATAATTTTTGTTGCAAACTTAAATGATTTCTATGGTAACAGCAGAAGAGTGTTTCTAAATTTATAACATCACATTGTGGGTGGGCATCAGTGCTCTTCTCTTCTAAAAGATATTTGCAATTGAACCATTATAGGTAAAGTCTAAGATTTGCTTAAAACAAACAATGTATTTTTATTGTTTTATTTTTTAGGGCTGATACAATAGGCAAAAAGTTTATTTTTCTTCACAATTCAGCTCATGAATCACTTGCTTTGGCTGCAGTAAATGTGGTGACTGGATTAGCTGCACCAGCAGAATTCAGGTGTCAAGAACTCTTACTTTATAACGTTAATCATAAAAGTGTCAAAATCAAATGTCTGGTCACAGTCATAATTGATGACTTCATCGTGGTTTACAATGTGAACATTTATAATTAAAGACCAAATCAAGAGCATGAAATGAAAACACATATCCCTAGTGCTTTTTGAAATGGATAAGATAGTGACTAGGTCTCTATTAAAAGTTGAAAGTAGTTTCTTTTTCTGGGGAATATTTTAATTTGATCCACAGTACTTCCTGAATTGCAAAAGACTCTGCAGTAAAAGGTAAAGGCCATCATGTCAGTAAATTGTATATGGAACAAAGTAAAGTGCATGGATATGGAACATAATATGTTTTTTAAAGAGATGCAATATAACATTTTAGGAGTTGGAGGTTACATTGAAAAATATCTTTCTGAAAGCTCTTCCTATTGTACATAAAGTAACATCAAAACATAGAATGATTTGGATTGGAAGGACCATAAAAATCATCTAGTTAAACCCTCCTAGCATGGGCAGGGACACCTTCCTCTCCCAGAACTACCAGCACTTTTCCCTCCTAATTAGGAGTGAGTGGATAAGAGTTTGAGCAAATGGACAAGAAGAGAGAAATCTTGACCTTTCTTTAGCCAGTAGATAGAAATTAATAAGCAAAAATACTGTTTTCAATAACATTTTCCTAATCATATTTTTTCAGACACTGCCTTCCTTACTAGCAATTTATTTCCTGATGCGAAAACAGCTACAAGGTCTAACACATCAATGCATAAGGCCTATAAAATATTCAATGTACCACAAAACACTTGCTTTAAGAGCTAAAATAATCCTCATGGCCTTGTGCTGGCAAACAACTGGAGTCTTAATTCACCTTCTGAAAAATATCAAATCTATTTTTGTGCCACCTTAAAAAAACCACAACAAACCCACTTTGACTCTGACTTGGTCAGTTCATTTTTTACAATTGCTGTTTGCAGAGTGCAGGAATTGATTACTCTGATTAATGCCTAT